TTGGTTTAAGAAGAATGGATATATTATATTTATATTGTATGTAAGTGTACGTATGTGTATGAGATTACATGCATGTGTATTTATAAAGGAAAATTCAATATAATTAACACCATTATTTTAACTTACGATTATTATAAATGTATATAGTTGTGGTACTTACAGAATAGTCACAATTATAAGTATCAAGTATGTTTTAAAGGATATTTTTATTAAAGAGCTTTACTCTAGGATTAGAAATTCTAGTTTTTGGGTACCACAGTTTTACAGTTTTGGTCTCGAGATTACTTAAATTCCTGTTTGAGTAGTCTTGTTTCCCACGTTTTTGGGTCGCTAGTTGGATTACACCGACTACGACTCCACGCTGAGTTCGGGTTGTTTCGACGATTCGTTCTCCACGGTATGCTAGCATATGACCCCAGGCCAGGGTCCACGAAACTATAGTTGATTATTTTATTTGTACCCTTAGCTAAAGTCTGGTCCTTGGAGTAAAGGCTGAAATGGAAGATTAAATGAATACGTTGAAAGTTACATTATTAGTTATTTTAAAAGAAATAAGAAGATGCTTTCCTCATTGGATATATGACTTCTGTTATACAGCTATTTATATGTGGAACTAATTTTCCACCACGTTATTAGTACATGAAAAAGCTAAGAAGTATTTTGAATTAAGATGAGATCGAGGTAAAGTTAATATGAAAGTTGTTGTTTAACTTCGATAAATCTTTGTTATTTATTTATCTATACAAATTTCTTAAATTGAAGTGATAAATACATGTTCATATATTTCATTACTGCATGTTATATTATAGTACCACTCAACAATTCAATTGCTGAGCGTGTAGTTTTTTTCTACACGTAGGTAAATACGAGAATCAAGTTGGAGCCTGGGGACAAAGAGACATCTGGAGAGGACTGCAATGCATATGTTTTTGCTTTGTTTTCATGTTTTAAGTTGGTACAAACAATGCCTTAAAGATAAGGACTTTATTTCAATAAAGTGAGTTTTATTAATATTGAGAATCATATTTTTTGGAAACACATTTATCAACTAAAATTCCACCATTTGCATTTCACTAAATGTTTTCTAATTTAAATGGAAGATTTTTACCGAATGATAAATGACAGTGACATCTGCCCTGAACCGGCCAGACCGGGCGAGATGGGTGTTACACATATTCTTCAATTCTACGGTCAATACATACATGTACGCCTCTCCAATGCATGCCCAGACCCCAGTCTGCTGCTTCGAACATTACGACTCTCCATGCAATCTGTATTTTAAAGTTCCAGCAGCTTCTTTACGTCTTCATATTCCAGAGTTTTTGTATATATAGACACCTGATTTCACTCCAATGATTGTCACAGCCGGTTAAAGACTTAAAGCACTCAGTTTCTTTGTCACATCTTTTTGAAAATATGGTTAGCAATTGGCATGGTGTATGACAGAATGACATATGTTTAACGTGATTAAGATCTAGGGAATCAATAGAAGAAGCAACTGCCACTTGGCTGCACAAAAGGTCCAGATGCATTAATTGCAAAAATTTCTATAGAATGTATACAGTGGTGGATCTATGAATTCAGCTATGGGTGTTCATTTTTTCTACATTTAAAATTTAAAAAGAAAATAAATAATAAAACTAAATTCAAAATTCTAGGTGTTCATGAGAACACCTTTGAACTAAAGTGGCTCCGCCACTGAATGTATATACGACATAGGTATATCTCTCGCGCACTAAAACTGAGAAGCTTTGTACATTTTCCGGTGGCTCTGTCGGCATTACGCCGGCGAGTCCACCAGTGGACTTTCCCGGGTTTTAGTTTCACATCTCATCTTTGCCTCCATTAAACTATGCTACAGGTTTCTTCTTAGAGGATATGTTGCGTTCAGGGATGTCAGATTCACTGATAGTGGGGTTTCTTCGTTGTTGATATCAGTCCATTGATTTTAGCTTGGATATTCACATGAGATTTATAAGTCAATACGGGGGGTTGAGCTGCAAATGGATGTTCTTATCTGGATTGGGAACTGTATATGTAGTGGATGTTGGAAGCGTATATAGTATAGCCGGTGGCAAACTTGTAATTTTGGTGAAAATATCGGATTCTCTTAAATGAGCATTGAATCAATTTTGATGAGCATCGAGCATGTTTTTTGAGTATTAGGGCCCGATACCGGTAGAAACCAGGGGGACCAATTTTTGGAGAAAAAACCCATGGGGACTGAGCCCGGCCAAGCCCGCCACCAGTCCATCCCTAAATGGAAATGTGAATAATAAAATATAATGATAAAATATTCCATTATTTATACGTAGCCAATACTTATTTCTAACGGTATCTATAATTGACATGTAAGATAAATTTGAAGCATAAACACAAAAGGGATTTGCACCATAAAAAAAGGATCGTGCATAAAGTGTTAATGTAAATAATAAATCAACAAAATAAAATTCAAAGCATCGATATGATCTTCCAGGAAATTGTTCGCTGAAATTGCAGCAGACTAGAAACCATCAATAAATCCCATATTTTTTGGTAGATAGATCAATTGAATTCTAAAAATGGTTAGAACATGGAGGAGTAGATTGGAATTGCAAAAATAATTGTCTCGTGGGTTTGATTGGGTTGTTTGCTTATTTAATACGCATTATGTTGCTTTATTAAGGGTTGGTTTACAACTGCTTTTAAAAAAACACTTCTCAGCTTTTGACTTTAAAAAACATTTATTTTCCCAAACACTACAACTTTTATTTTTCTCGGCTTCCGCGTCAAAAGTGCTTTTACTTTTTCTATTACACAAAAAGCACTTATTTTACCAAACACTACCCACTTTTACTTTTCAAAATCACTTTTTTCTCAAACACTATCAACTTTTATTTAATCACTTCTTCTCATTTCATTAAAAAGACACTTTTTTAAAAGCAGAAGCTGTTGCAAACAGACCCTAAATGGCTGCGTGATCCCATGAATTTAATGGAGCAAATGATTGTAATTAGTCATGTGTACAAATGCATGAATTTGTGAAAAATAATACGGAGTAATAGATGCTTGAATTTGCAAAAAAAAAAAACTTCTATGACACTAGACAAAACAGGGCACCCGACATTATGATTAATAAAGGGGATAAGGGTCAGTTTGGTCCTCGAAGTTGCAAAAAAGGAGTCAAATAAGTCCTTATATAGAAGATTCGGTCCGGACGTGTCATTTGAGGTGGCTCCCGGTGGAATTTTTTGATGAAATGTTTTGAGCATCTTATTCATTAAGTCTAGTTTACACATACCAAATTTCAGATAAAAATTCAATCGTGAAGACATTCAAATGAATTCTTGAAGATAACTGTGCCGTTAAAAGTGCAGTTATTTTCAAGAATTCATTTGAATGTCTTCCCGATTGAATTTTTAACTGAAATTTGGTATGGGTAAACTAGACTTAATGAATAAGATCCTAAAAAAAAATTATCAAAAAATTCCACCGGGAGCCACCTCAAATGGCACGTCCGGACAGAATCTTCTATATAAGGACTTATTTGACGCTTTTTTTGCAACTTTGAGGACCAAACTGACCCTTTACTCACTCGTAATAAAGTGTTGTCATTTTTAGGTCCGACTCCTTTGTCTCGAAAAGGTTCACCAAATTGACTTTTCTTGATCAATGACAATCAACTTTGATCGATGATATTTTTTAATACGAAATTGTTATGAATATAAAAATTATATCAAAATGTTCCTTATTCAGAATATTTTCATAAAAGTATAATTTTTTTAAGTTATATACAAATATTGTAATTAAAATCATTGTCCAAAGTTTGTCATCATTGACCAAAAAAAGTAAATATGGCGAACCTTTTCGGGAATAACATTTCGTATAAAGATTAAAGACATCTAGAAAACATTTGATATTAATCAATTGTGATTTGTTCATGTTTAGTGAGTTAATAATAAGATTTGAAATGGATTAATATTCGTATCACATATTCATTTGAAGTGACATATTTGGATTTTTAAGTTATTACTTATACCAAAATGATGTTTGACCTACTCCTTATACCCACTTTTACACCACCCATGTTTGTGAAAGTTTTTTTGTCTGTGGATTTCGTTCACAAGCTAAATATGTCTTATTAGACAAAATAAAACATATTTTGTCTGTGAACAAGACTCACAGACAAAAAAAACCTTCACAGAGGTGAGCATAAAGGGTGGGTACAACAAGTATTGTTATGATTATATCCTAAAAATGGAGCTAAAATTTTATGTCCGTACATATGTGACAGTTTCCTGATGAGACAGTAAATGTTGTTGTAGTGTTTCAAGATTTTTAGATTTATTGATGTTATTTTATGTTGAATAATACTCCATCCGTTCCTAAAAATTTTCCCGGTTTGAATTGACACGCCTATTAAGAAAGTGGAATAAAGTGGAAATGTGTGGTTGTGGTTGCGTGAGAAAAAGGTAAAATGAATGTGAGCCACACAAATTGTCCAAAAAGGGAAAATGGGAAGAATTTTTGGGAACGACCCAAAAAGTAAAGTGAGAAGTATTTTTAGGAACGGAGGGAGTATAACTTTCTTTGTTATCCATGAATTGATCATTGTAAATTTTTTGATGTATCGTTTTTCACATTTTGCATTAATTAATACAAAGTTATTTATTTGGATGGTGCATCGCACTGGTACGGGTGAGAAACTAGTACTGGTTTAGGGTCTGTTTGCAACAGTTTCTGCTTTTAAAAAAGTGCTTTTTTTAATGAAATGAGGAGAAGTGGTTAAATAAAAGTTGATAGTGTTTGAGAAAAAAGTGATTTTGAAAAATAAAAGTGGGTAGTGTTTGGTAAAATAAGTGCTTTTTGTGAGATAGAAAAAGTAAAAGCACTTTTGACGCGGAAGTCGAGAAAAATAAAAGTTGTAATGTTTGGAAAAATAAGTGCTTTTTTTAAAGCCAAAAGCTGAGAAGTGTTTTTTTAAAAGATTGAACCCAAATTGGGAAAAAACTTTTTACTTCCGTGGTTGTTTGCTTCTTCTTAGTTCTTAGTCCCCGAGTGAAGCTTATCCAGAGCTGTTTTTAGCGTGAACATGGAAACATTTATCAGCTGCGCAAGCTCGAGTTTGGTCTCCGTCTCCGTCTCCGTCTCCGTCAAGCCAACGAAATTTCCCGCCTCCCTTGTCAAGTTCAATTTATGGGTCCACAATTCTTCTCTATCAAACCATTCGTTTTTGGTTACCCTATCCTTAAATCTCTTCAAATCTATATTCATATGATAAATCTATATATGTGATTGCTTTAAACAGAGATTGAGGCGCTCAAAAAGAGAGCATAACCGACCTACCGATAATTTTTTTATGGTCAAGTCTTATGGGTCGATCAACAGCGGGTCTTCTGGCTCTCTTCCAGTTACACCTAACACTATTTTCTTGGAAGAGGTACTTTGTTTAATATTTTTGAAATTTGGTTTGTTTTTAGGAATGAACTATATTGAATAATATTTGTGGGTATCAAACTATTAATCATAAAATCACAGTCAATGTCCTTATGTTTCAGAGTTCAATTTGCTGAAAGGTAATGTTTTTGAAGTCCATGAAGATACTTTTATAGTGTTAAGCCATCCACATATAACAAATATAATACTCGGTAATACATTATACAGGACTCTTTCTACTTCCTGAATTCTCTTATATTGGCCTTTCTAGTCTCATTGAGGAAATAAGGTGGAAGTCATGGAGCCTCAAGGAAAGCATAGTGCCTCGCTGGATTAATCGGGGGATATGCAAGGGTTTTTAAGATATTGTTTTGTAATCAGTTAAATTAAATACTACAGTGAGAAAATAAGGAGTAAATTATACGGGACTTTGTGGTAGGAAAACAAACATGGGAGACTTTGTGGGAGGAAAACAAACATTGGAGACTAACACATTGTTTTAAACTCAATAAATCAAATTAGGTATTTCGTGAAACTCATTTTATTTATAGGTTTCTATTATATAAAGGCTAACGATTGAAAATATATGTAATTTTTTTAGCTGAATTTGAGTTTCATTTTGCATTACCCAAAGTAAAACTAAACTCAATCAATCATTTTCATTAGAATCCCCCTCCTACCATTTTGAGGCCCCAAACTTTTCATAAAACAATGACCAAAAGCCCCTGTGGGTGAGTTTGATGTTTATTTACTTTAATAGGCCATAGGAGCAGAATATGGAGAGGGCTTTGAGACGTTCAGATCAGATGGGTTACTCAAAGTTGATGTTGTAAGTTCCAAACTTGTTGTTACATCCCTTTCTAGATTCATGTGAAAATGACTGTGTAGTCTAAACTATCCTTATTCTCCACTTAGGATTTTCTAAATGATAAGCTGCAAGAAGGTTTCCTGAAAAGAATCCGTTATGCAATGAAGCCTGATGAGGCTTATGGATTAATTTTCTCTTGGGACAATGTGGTGGTAAGGTTTGAGTTCTTGCTTTATTGAAGAAAATTGTTATTTGCTGTTTCTTCCACTTGGCGTGGAAATAAGAGAACAAGTGCATTCATTCCTATCTTGACCCAATCTGTGGAACATTTTTGCAGGCAGATACTAAATCTCTAAGGTGGAATGCCTGGAATCAACTTGCAATTGAAGAAGGTACATAGAGCTCTAGAGCTTGATTCTTGAGAGCTACCAAAGTAGCTACCAAAGTCAAACCAAGCATAAAGACTGGTTTTGTTAGCATTTATTTTCATTTCCCAACCATTTTTCTTTCCTAAACAGTCTTCACATTCGCCTTTAGTTCATTGATTTGGTATTTAATGCTGGATAAAAAGTATAGGGTGTTATTGTGAAGAAAGTATTTTCCAAATGGCTTTAGTTGTTATGATGATGATATTTAGTTTCTTGGATTCCCCCACAAAATATAACTAAAATGAGACTCAAGGATAAAAATATAACTAAATGGTCAGTGCCAGAACCACGAGAGTCACTGCACCGGGTAAATATGATTACTAGTCACTACACATTAAGGAAGTCACATTTTGTTCATGACTAATTTTAGTAATATAATTGTCATTTAATTGTATATTATTCAGGGAAGGAAATTCCTGAAGATAAAAATGCTCAAACACTTTTGCTAAGTGCTGGTGTCGATCATGTACTAAACAAGGTTAGCATTCATTTATCAACTCTTAACTTTTGAGTGCTCCTGTATTTGTATTCTATTTTGCTTACTTAACTTTAAATCAGAGAAATAGTCCTCTATCTTTCATATGCTTTTATAAGTAAATTATTTAACTTTCAGGTTTTGCAATGGGAAATTGAAGAGAATGATTTATGTAGATTGAAGCTAAGGTTATCACAGTTATTTTGTGACAATTTAGTTGAAGTAAGACCCATCTGTCCATTCTCTTGGATTGGGTGTATTATGTACTACCTCCGTCCCATTTATATTGTCCCAGAAGAGGGTGGCACGGTTATTAAGAAAAGTGGGTTTGTGTGGTTGATATTAATTGATAAAGTAAGAATAAAGTAAGAATGATTTAGAGTCACACAAACTTTGCCAAATATGGTATGGGACAATTTAAGTGGGACTTCCCGAAAAGGTAAAACAGGACAATATAAATGGGACGGAGGGAGTATTCATTAAATAATCTTTTTCCTATTTTATAGTTTTCAAAACCAATAGAAGGGCTGAATGAATGGCTTGATGCTGTATCTACGGCACGTATTCCTTGTGCGGTTGTTTCAAGTCTCGACCGAAAAAATGTGGTTGACGCCTTAGAACATCTGCAACTCATCAAATATTTTCAGGTTTGCAATTTCTTACTTCACGTGATGCTTGTTGATTTTCATTATTATTATCATCATTATATACTTACTCCCTCCCGCCCTGTCTACTGAAAAAATGTCTAAATGTGTAATTTGTTTATGAAAAGAAAGAAAACATTATCGCATAAATGAACCATTTTTATGTAGTTTTCCACCAACAAAAGTTATGAACATTTTAAATATGATCGGATTAGGTAAGTCAACAAATAAAGTTTAAAAAAGCAAGTTTGGTTCTATGACTTCTAATAGTCATACCTTTGTATGATTATATATGTTGAGATATGGTATTGCTTGAGTGATCTTAATAGTCTTCTTGGAGTTGCAGGCTATTGTGACTGAAGAAGATGGCATGGAATCCATAGCACACAGGTTTCTTTCTGCTGCAGTTAAGGTATGGTTAGTCGAAGTAGTGATTACTTTGACTCCCTCCTTTTTTATAATGCATTTTGGTCCAGTTCATCGTAGCCCATTTTTAACAGATCTTGGGCCAATATGTAATAGGACACAACCAAAACAGCAGAAATCAGTAGTATATTGATGAAGATAGCTAAGTTACAATGGCGGAAATCGTAAGAAAGAGAAGAAAGTCAGAAACAGAATTGAGGCTCTTCGAGAGGCCTCACTCTCCCAGCCATTATTCAACTGAAACTCTCATCTACCTTTATTCTATTCCCAGCTCCTATTTATAATATTTTTTCTACGGGCCGGCCCATAACAAAATAATACCAGGCCTGGACCCCCTTTGACACAATAACACACTATGTAACATTATTCTATTCTTCTTCTTATTATTATTCTCTTTAGCCCAGGATCCTATCATATCTCCCCCCCCCCCCAGACAACCACCTTGTCCTCAAGGTGGGTGATAGGAAACTGCCTTGACCCTCAACTTCATCTTTGCGCCTCTTCCTTCCCAGTACCTCCCTGCTTGCTGAACCAGGAGATTCAGTACTTGATCCTTCCAATTCACAGATGTTTCTGCCGCAGAAGAGATGTCTAGTGAAGTTTCATTCTTTTCAGTACCCTCCAAGCATTCAATAGCGACAAACGTTCCCTTGTTTTCATGAGGTTCCTCATAGTTTGATGTTAACACTGCACCCTTCTTGATGTCCCTTACTGCAAACAACCCCATACATAATTCTTCTTTTACCACCCACTTTTCTGTACAGCAAGTCGGCAATTGAGATCATAGCTGTAGTTCATAAAGCGTCCCAAGTCCCTTTAGGACATGTGTCAATTACCTCACTATCACTGAGTGTCGTAAAGTAGAGATGTTGTTGAACATTCAGTGCATATTCTTTTGCCGTGCCTCATAGGCATGCATATCAAGCACCTCTTCAATGTATTCACTATTCAATGATAAAGCACCCTTCAGATACATCTTCCAGAACTTGCAGCCCATACCCTTTTTGCCACCTTTAAACCACTTCAAGTTAGCATACTTTCATCTCTGAAATTGTTGGTTTGAACATTGCTTGCCATAGTTCTCCTGTGGATATAACTTGCTAGTAAACTCATTTCCTGGGTTCGGTTCAGCATTCAGATCCACAAACCACTTTAACAACTTAATTGCTTCATCTTTAGGTCCCCCCATTCTTCTAGAGCCTTTGTGAAGCCAACCATAGCACTCCCTTGCCCATTCATCTTGCTTATTGCAACAGACTGAGATGTGGAAAGTGACTTTTGAAATGGTACATACCCATAAGTTGCAGTACTCTGTTCAGAAACAGCTGGAAAATGGCCTTGGTGATCATTTGGGATATATACTGGATATTAAGGATCAGAAAGTCCATTTTCAAATTTGGGGGTCATAATTGCTTGATACTCATTAAAAGAGTGCATCCTAGAAGTTGATTGTTGATTGTGAACCTTAAACTTAGCTTCTTCATAATCTGAGGCTTGAGCACTGTTAAGGCTAGCCGTATCTGTAACACGTGATGTTGCTTGGTAATCCTATTGTTGGGGTTTTGAAAACAGTGTAGTGCCCACTTCAGAGCTGTTCACATCTTCTTCACCATCTGGAGAAGTGGGAATAACTAATTGAAGTTCTTGTGTAAACCTATAGTTCCTCCTGCTACCCTATACTTCCCTGTAGTGCACTGGAACATTGTTTGACTGCTCCTCTTCAAGCAACCAGTAGCTGTGCCTCTGGAAGTTTCCATACTCTTCACCAGTAGCATCATCCTTCGTAAATGCTCTGTCAACATCACTAATCAGTGTGCTGTTTCCGAAGATGATAGCAGATTCACCGCCATTAACATCTAGAATGGTGTGTGCAACATATGGTTCAGTCCGAGAGTTCTTAGAAGTGAATTGTAAGGGTATTTTCCTGCCAACAAGCTCTGGTTGAACCCTACGAATCACAGCTGCCTGAAAGGACTCCGAGGTACGTTCCTCGGTAGCATCAGCGTATGAATCAAGGATTCCATGTTTAGATTCAACAAGAGTTTTCTTACTGGTAACTGTACTCCTCCGCCTCCTCGTGGACTTACAAGTTACAACCCAGCACATTTGAGACTAATTCAGACCCCACCTCAAACTTCTTCCTAGGCTTTACTATTTCAAATCCTGACATATGTCCTAGAGGACAAAATTGAAAAATTCCCAGTGGCACAAAGACTGTCAACAGTAACCACCTTCCCTTTACTACCCTCCCAGGCTTGACATTTGAGTTGGTGAAAACTGATCCTTCAAATGCACTTGTCTGTGAATTATCCATCATCAATTGCTTTGCCAAAATGGGAGGCTCCACTTGGGCTGGATCTACTTTACCCAGACGCATTCCATTGATCTGCACCTCAGGCTTCTCCTATCATTCTGAATATCTGGTGGAGATTCCGTAGGTTGAGTAAGATCATCGTTCGGATCCAATTCAGTGATTGATGGTTCAGCAGGCTTCAATTCAGTGTTTACCTCAGGCTTCTTTGGATCATTCTGAATATCTGGTGGAGATTCCGTAGGTTGAGTAAGATAATCGTTCGGATCCAATTCAGTGATTGATGGTTCAGCAGGCTTCCATTCAGTGTTTATTGTCGGCTCTGAAACTCGCGCAGGGTGATAAGCTTCTAGCGACCCGGTGTGAGAAGTTGAACTGGACACCTGCGACCCGGTAGACACCGCTCACGATGGGGATCGATGAAGAATGGCTAGCAAAGGCGAACTATGAGACACTGTTCGCGGAAAATCTGGCTAACATTACAGGAAGAAGCTGCTGGCGATGACTGTCGGTGTGGAGAAACAGCTTGCGAAGAACCGGGAGATGCTGTTCGTGACTGCGAACTGGAAGACGGAGTTATTCGCGGCTGCAAACTGGGAGAAGTCGTTGGCGGCTGCGAACTAGGAAAAGTGACGAACGACGATGCTGAGCCCTTACTTTCCGATGGTCGATGGCTCCTGACTGTCCTCCATCGACCTCGAGGTCACATGCAACAAGGTTGATGCAAGCAACCTATCGCGCATCCTGTTCAGCGACTCGTCCATCATCGTTCTCATCTCCTTCAAATGACGTTCAATATTGTCCATACTCTTTTCCATTCGGGGTGACATGCATAATTCCTCCACCCTTCCAGCTCGTTGATGTTGATGATCGTTATCAGAGCACTCACTCTGATACCAATGATAGGACTCAAACCAAAACAGATGAAATCAGTAGTATATCTATGAAGATAGTTGAGTTACAACGGCAGAAATCGTAAGAAAGAGAAGAAACAGAATCGGGGCTCTTGGAGAGGCCTTACTCTCCCAGCATAATTTCAATTGCCTACCTTTATTCTATTCTCAGCTCCTATTTATAATATTTTCTCTACAGGCCGGCCCATAACAAAATTATACCAGGCCTGGACCCCCTTTTAACATAATAACACACAATGTAACATTATTCTATTATTCTTATTATTATTCTCTTTAGCCCAAGATCCTATCAATATGCCATGTGGCATCAGTAGTCGTATAAGAAGTTGCCATTTTCCCAAACATGCCACTATTGGTTTCTGGGTATTGTACAATTGGTAAAGGTGAAAGTATTTATAGAGGGGCAAGACGAGCAACTTTTGGTGAAATGTGGGAACTTGCATTGGGGCTTTGCAAACCGCAAACCAAACAGAGGCCGAGCCATTTTACTACCGAGTATCTTACTTTATTGGGTTGCTAAACACTTACAGTATGCTTATATTTCATAACGGAGGCGGGGGTAGTTAAAAAGTATACTTCTGATATCTACATTTGTTGCAAATATAAGAATGAAATACTTTGCAGGTCACAGAAGCACTTTAAAAATATACTTGGTATCTCTTATTTAAACCAAAAATTTTACCTATCCAAAATTATCAGGTAAGAATCTCTAAAAATAGTACATTGATATTTGTTTTTAATTCAGTTGGATAGAATGCCGTCAAAGTGTGTGGTGTTTGAAGATGATCCTAGAGGCATAACAGCTGCTCACAACTGTACGATGATGGCTATTGCACTTATCGGTTCCCACCCAGCGTATGTCAACACTATGTTTGGAATTCAAAAAAGGGAAAGTAAAAAACTGTTTAGGAAATAGTTTAAAATTTTTTGGGTTTACCAAAATACGAAAGAAAATCAAATTCAATCACAACATTTTTCATTTTTACGTGCATATATGTCCTAGTGTTCACTTGATAGAAATATGTAAATAAAAAGAGTTTGAACACCCCCCACCCCCAATCCCCACCACAAAAACAAAACTTATGTGTTTTCCTCTATTTTATTTACCTAGAATTTACCAGGATCTAAACAGACTCCTAAGAATAAATATTCTTCGACCGTTTGGTAAGAATTTCATGGGCCAAAAAGATAGAATCCATTCATTTTGAAAGGACAAGTGTTTGGTTGCGTGCATTCATGCCATTCAAGTCAAAAGCTACTTATTCTGGTGATAAATGAATAATATGCCATAACTTGCTACCAAAAAGAGAGTATTAGTGTGTAGGTTGGCCCCAAAATCATCTTTGTGTAGGTGTATATGTAGATGACGATTACTGATTGTGGGAGCATGAATAATGCAGGTATCGATTGGGGCAGGCTGACCTTACAGTTGGTAGCTATAATGAGCTTTCCGTCATTAATCTCAGGAGACTATTTGCACACAAAGGTTCCAACTTTATGGACTTGCAGAAGCAAGTAGAGGAGAAGGCTCCTCCCAGAAGGAAGTTTACTATTGACACCATTTTGTGATTAAATTTAAGCATCCCTTCCCTTCATTTTTTGCATCACATTTACATAGAATAGCTGAGAAACTGAAAACCAGAAAGCATGTATATCAGTATATGTATACCATCCAACACATTCGTGCTATTCTTGCAGGCACATTTTTGTTGTATATATTAGCTGCTAATGTGAAACAATTTTTATGTGATCTATACATATTGTTGGTAGAAAGGCTTTGTGATGTTAGATCTTATGCTTTAAATTGTTGAAAAGTTATTTAATTACACTGCAATTGAAAATTTTCAAATTTCTTCTACGCATTTATTTCGGGAAGACACTCCTTAGGGGTGGACCAGGACTGGTTGGACCGGCCCGGTGGGTGATTTCTTAATTTACGGGAAAAGCTAACATATACTGCTAAAACACGTGAGTTTTTGTAGCTTTTCTAAGAATGGGGGATTCGGAATTCACCTTTCCGATTGGAATAATAGGGTTGATTGGGTGGTAGACTGGTAGGGCAAGGGGGAGGGTAGTGGAGGCTAAGGTTAATGTAAAATCCCATTTTGATTTTAAGTCGTGTAACTTTTTTATTTATATTCCATTTTTTACTAAAATTACATCAAAATTCATAATATTTTATTATCTTTCCAACGACACCAATATCCATTATTAAAGTTTTGATTTTTTTTTTAAGTTTTACCAATAGAAATTTTTTCAGTCCCAAAATTTTTCTTAAATAGATTCAAGTGTTGAAATTAAGATTTTATTGTTTACATAAAGTGTTTACAAGTTTCAGTTATTTATGGAGGTGTTTGGTAAACGGCATTTCAGTCGAAAAATGGCGGTTTGATCTCTTTCAGCATTTTCAATAAGTGAAAAAGTTGTTTGGTAAATAGCGATTCGGCCCTAGCATTTTGGGATGAAAACGCTGCTAGTTGGAGAGTTTTGAGTTGGCGTTTTGAAAAATGGTCTTTTCTATTAATTTTATGGCCAAACAACGAATCCGCTATTGACAACCCACTAACATAACACGCTATCTGCTAACCGCTAACCGCATAATGCCAAAAACACCCTATAACTTTATCATTTGGATCTATCTAAGAAAACTTTTGAATCTGAAAAACTTGTATTGCCGAAATTTCAATTGTTTTTTAAAATATATATGGAATATTGGTGTCGTTTGAAAGATCATGAAAAATTATAAATTGTGATACATTTTTTGTAAAAAACGGAATACAAATAAAAAAGTTACATTACTTAATAGAAAAAATGAAAAATAAGATTTTAAATTATCCATTCCCCCCTCCCCCTCATGCAATTCGGAAACCCCAATTCCGAATCCCGTATATTCATACAAGGGAGCAAAGTCCCGTTTTTTGGAATGACAAACACAAAACACCCGTCTTTTTGGAATTTCCTCTGCCCGGCCCGGACTGCCACTGTGTGGTACCGGACCGGCCCAGTTGACCGGGACCGGGCCTAGGACCTGACCCAGGGGTGCTTTGGAGGCGGGCTTGGGCTGCAGCCTCTTGGAACTGGCCGATCCGGGCCATATATATATATATGTATATATATATATATATATATATATATATATATATATATATATATATATATATATAGATTTTGGTTCAGGTGAGAAATGCATCTAATGTGAGAAATGAGAATGAATCTTAGCCATTGAATTTACGAAGTTGCACTAAAATTGGCTTTATGTTGCAGTAATATTTAAATTTTGCACATGTTGCACTGAAATTGTTTCATGTTGCACTAATATTTGACGGCGTTGCACCGAAATAGCTTCATGTTGCACTAGACACGTGTAATACGGATTTTTCAGAAGTATTTACAGAAATGCCACCGTGCTAGATTGCATATTTCAGTGCATCATGAAGTGTCTTTTACTGCAACTTAGTCGAATCCAATGGCTGAGATTCATTCTCATTTGAAAGGGTTCTTCTCACTTGAACCTTACCCTATATACACACACACACACACACACACACACACACACACACACACACACACACACACACACACACACACACAAATATTCAGGTCCGGCCAGGCCGGACCACTCCCCCCGTCTGGCCTCCTCCATTTGGGGGCCTTCCCGGTGGTATTTTTTGCTCAAATTTTTTGTGTAGGTTCCTCATCAAGTCTAGTTTGTCCATACCAAATTTCAGCCAAAAATTCAATCGGGAAGGTCGTCAAATTATTTTTGCAAGTTAACTGGATTTTCTTAAACCAAAACAGGGACACGAAAATCAAGTTGTTTCGGGATAGCCTGTAGAATTATGTCTATTCTGTGTGCTGCCTTTAATTCAGCATCTGTCGCATCTGCATACTGTTGCTGTCTTTCTTTGAATGCTTCTCTGATCGGTTGCAGCTTTTCCTTCACAATTTTCAGGGTTCCGTCACAGTACTTGTTGATTTCATCAATGAATAACATACGTTTCTCACCATTATGATTTAGATAGATAAGCGTGATTGGTCTATCAAAAATGTAATACTCAGGGAAATCCCCGAGTTCTTGTCCATACAGCTTTGGTTTTGTGAGATTTGTCTTCGGCATGTTTGTTTCAAGCGCCATCTGAAGATCATGAGAGGCAAAGAATTTGATTTGTCTGAGCATAAAGCGCTTGAGTGCATCCAGCCCATTTTGTGTAGTTGTGTCACGAGTGCCTGGAATTTCTTGAAATGCAAGATACATCTGATATATGTCATCCATTTTTAGCATATAGAGATCATTTTCCTTGCACGTGAATTCTGTTCCGTCAGACCGTTGTAGATGGTAGACAGAGAGTTTGATGTCTTGGGAGTTTGTTTCACCCACGTTGAGAATAGCCCAGACTGGGTCTTTGGCAGTTTGAAGTTCGTGTTGCCAGACTTCTCTCTGTTGTCCCATATAGTGATGACTGAGTAGAAATAGCTGTCCGCCCTTGTTTTGTCCTCGTAGATGGTTAAGACCACAGATCTTCAGTTCATCCAGTTCTCTGACTTTATCCTCTTTTCGCCAGATGTTTTCTCTGATTTCTTCTTGAAAGGGGGCGTTGATGTCGATCTTTTCCCAGGGCTTCTCATTTCTGGGCATTTGAGCCGCTGTTTGTCTAATGATCGACTCAAGCTCCTTGGGTGGTGTCTCGTAGTTTTCTCCCTCCTTGAGTTCGTTTTGATCAAGTAGAATCACGTCAGTAGCACAGTTGACTAAGAGATCTCTGAGGTATGCTCTTCGCTGTGCTTCATCTACATCTGTCCAGAGTTCAGACCATTTGTTATGCACCAGCATTTCCTCAAGTTCATCGTGCATTTGATCATTGTAGTAGCTGGAGGAAGCCTGTTGCTGCTGTGGCGACACGTCTGGCGTAGCATCGGGATCCTGGTGAGACTTGCAGGGATCCTCAATTATCTCAACACGATGCTCTTGCGCAGAGACCAGACCTCTATACTTTGTTACATGCGGCCAATCCTCCCTTGGTTGAGAATGGGTGACTCCGGGATCCTCAGGATTGCCCGTTGACATCAGTTTCGAACTAGGTTCTAGCTGATGGCCTGAGTAAGAAGATGTACTCGTGGTAGCATCATCAGGACTTCCATTCCGTCCTTGGTTAACATCTATAGGAGATGCACCTCGGGATGTTATGTCTAGCTCGACCATGCTAGAGAGAGTGGCTAGTGATTTATGGCTGGCTGAAGTAGTGGGTTGCTCATTGGTAGAGGTGGAGGGTTGGTTTGGCTTTGAGGGTTGGCTAGTAGAAGCAACATGCTCAAGTATCCGCGGGCGCTTGTTCTCTCCCTCATGAGAATCCGAATCATCAGGATCCTCATGTGAACGTTTAGCGCCACGGAGACTGTCACGGCATGTGTTCTGTGTATCTAGAGCATGGAGAAGGGCTTTTTTGAAGAGGGGTGAGGTTGCCTTCTTCCACGTCTAGTATACGGTCATAGATCTCAGCTACAAGATCCTCGAAGGGTACAGTTGTTAGGTTGGGTTTGGTCGTTGTAGGGGAGAATACTAGTTCTGTATCCTGGGTTCCCCTTGATGTGGATGGTTGTTGGTTTTCTATGGCTAAAGGTTTGGAAATAGGAATGGAAATGGTTGGGGGCTGTGTTGTTTGAGGTTTGGGTGGTATATCCTGAACAACTGGGGTACTTCCAGAGTCTTGTGCATTAGCGGTTATTGCTTCATGCACCCATGGCTTAATGGTAGACTCTAGAAAGCTATTCAGATATACGAGAATGTCTTCGGGGATAATGGTACCAGTTACAGGGGTTGTAACTGTTGTCACAGCATCAGTGAAGATGGCTGATGTGTGGCCTGCGTTCAATGATCGAGGCATTGTTGGCGTAGCAGGGCTTCCGACCATCATAGTTTGCACTCCGGTCGTTGCATTCAGGGTGAGTGCACCTGTATGTGCAGTGAATAGTGTAGGTGTCCTAGAAAAATGTGAAAATGTAGGAATGGTGACACCTAGACTCGATGTGATAGAACGGATGGGGGTAGTGGTCCGGGGCTGTTGACCACTAAGTCTCTCAGCAGATTCGGAAGGAATCAGTGAGGTCGGTGTAAGTTCTCCTTGAGTTATTGAAACCCCAGTCTGTTGGGAGACTAGAGAGTGGATGGGAGATGGCTGTGCATGCGCAGTTGAACCGGATGCTGCGACTTCTACCCGGGAACTGACAAGGTCAGCTCCTGCTCCTAGGGGCGTGGTTCGGTCTATAGTGACGAAGGTGTCACAGTCATCGTACAGTGCCAGCTCCTCTTCCACTGCACTCTTCTTTCTGAGCCTCTTCTTAGGCTGTGATGATGCAGGCTTTTCATTGCGTTTCTTGGAGCGCTGCTCACTAATGATGATTCCTTTGAGTGGTCGGGGTGTGAGTGCAGCCTCAATATCTTCTGATGAGGAGTCGGAGTCTATCGGAATGGCCTGTTTACCAGTTCTCTTCCTGTTGCTGATCAGGACTCCCTCCATGTCATCATCATCATCTGCATCATCATCATCATCATCTCTTCGTTCATTCCCTTTGACCATGCTATCGGAGGCCTCACCACCAGCCTTATTAGAAGGGGCCTGGCTTGATGGTTCATCGGCAGTGTCCTCAGCATTGGTAGGGTGGCCCTCAGCAGTCTGGGTCCTCTCGGAAGAGTTAGCAGACTGATCATCATTAGGCCGGGTTGCCACTGGTTTCTGTGGCGGGGCTCTCTTCTTCTTACCCTCACTTGCTCTCGGCTTGGTTCCCGGGGA